GCCCCAGCCCCGGGACACGCTGCCCATGAGCCTGGTACTTAGAGGCCTGCCAGGCCTGCCCGGTGCTGTCAGGATCCCAGCACCCACGTGAGCGGCTGTCCCCTGGATGCCTGTCTCCATGGAGACCAGCTCTCCCATCTCTGTTTCCTGTCCACGTGCTCCCCCAACCCCGACCTTGGAGCTGGAGGGAACAGTCCACACCCCGTGCCCGCCCCATCCCCCCAGGACCCTGGCATGACCCTGACCCTGACCCCAGCCTGGCACCCTCCGCCCTGTGGGCCCAGCGGGACCTCACACCACAGGCCTTGGTCACATGCCCGCAGCCTCGGGCTCGGCCCTTCCCGCTCACGTGCTGCTGAATCATGTGAAAAAAATGCACCGGCCCTGGGAGGGTTTGCCGAGAACAGAGCGGCTTTGTGGGGGCTGCTGCTCCCACTCTCTCCGCCCAGCCCAGCTCGGCCCTGCAAACCCCAAGCCTGCAGCCGGGCAGGGGGAGCCGCGGCAGGGAGGGGCCTGGACAGGCGCTAAGGGACGGCTCTCCCTTCCCCTCCCCACCCACAGGCTAGGAAGGGGCCCAGAGAGGCAGGGCGGACAGCTTGGAGGGAAGGGGCAGCAGGCCACGGCCTGCCCCCGCTGCCACGGGTGGCAGGGTGCTGCCCGCGCCTGGCGGCCTCTCCCGCTCGCTGGAAGGACTCTCAGAGGTCGGAGAGGACCCCCAGGCCCCCAGCTTTGAACATCTTATTTTCCCTTTGTTTATTTGCATTTCGGAGGCCCTGATGTTATCACACACATTATGGCTGTGCACCTAGCTGGTGAGGGGAGGAGACAGGGATGAGGACCCGCAGAGCAGCACACGGGATTCGGGGTCACATCCAAACCCGACGCCGCCTTCTGTGGGACGGCTGGGAGGGCAGGTGCCTTGTCCTTCTGCCAGGGGCCGTGTGGGTGGGACTGCCGGGCAGAGATGAGTCAGCCCGCACCCTGTCTCGCTGCCCACTCCCCACACCTACTTTTAGCTCAGAAGGGGTGCTCTCACCTACAATGCAGGGACCACAAATACGACCTCTGAAATTGGAAACAAAAATAACCCACTCCCAGGCAGGCTCATCCAGTCACCAGCCTGCGGCTTCCCGGCCGCCTCAGGAGACCTCGCGACTCAATGTTTGGGTGC